TCCATCCATTCATCTATTCATTCATCGATTCATTCACCCATTCATCTACTCATTCACTCAGTCATTCACCCACGAACTCACTCAATCATTCATTCATCCATCCATCCATTCATCTATTCATTCATCGATTCATTCACCCATTCATCTATTCATTCACTCAGTCATTCATCCACGGACTCACTCAATCATTCATTCATCCATCCATCCATTCATCTATTCATTCACCCATTCATCTATTCATTCACTCAGTCATTCATCCACGGACTCACTCAATCATTCATTCACCCATCCATCCATTCATCTATTCATTCACTCAGTCATTCATCCACGGACTCACTCAATCATTCATTCACCCATCCATCCATCCATTCATCTATTCATTCATAGATTCATTCATCCATCCATTCATCGATTCATTCATCTACTCATTCGCCGACTCATTCACCCACGGACTCAATCATTCATTCACCCATCCATCCATTCATTTATTCATTCATCGATTCATTCACCCATTCATCTACTCATTCACTCATTCATTCACCCACGGACTCACTCAATAATTCATTCACCCATCCATCCATTCATCTATTCATTCATCGATTCATTCATCTACTCATTCGCCGACTCATTCATCTACGGACTCAATCATTCATTCACCCATCCATCTATTCATTTATCTATTCATTCACCCATTCATCTACTCATTCACCCATTCATCTACTCATTCACTCACTCATTCACCCATTCATCTACTCATTCACTCACTCATTCACCCATTCATCTACTCATTCACTCACTCATTCACCCATTCATCTACTCATTCACTCACTCATTCACCCATTCATCTACTCATTCACTCACTCATTCACCCATTCATCTACTCATTCACTCACTCATTCACCCATTCAAGTGCAGTGCGGTAATTTACCTCCATTCACCAACAGCTGGAGGAAGGGGGCGGGGCACCTCCACTGACGTCATCAGCCCCGCGGGGGGCGGGGCTCCCACCACCCGATGACGCACGCGGGATTGACGTCGAATGACGTCACGGTTTCCGGTCGCCCGCGTGACGTAATCCACCCATATAAGGAGCGCTCCTGGTGACGTCCCATTTCCGGTGGCCCCCTCCCGCCCCCCACGCTCGCACGTGGCTGGGGCGATGACGCAACATGCCCATATAAGGTTCGCCTCCAGCGGTGACGTCACACAATCCACACTGCGGGGGCGGGGTCCCCTCTGGCCCCCACCTCCCCTTGCGATTCGTCGGAGGGTGGCTGAGCGTGATTACGTCACGCGCCTTATATGGGTAGGCCCCGCCCCCCCTCCCGCTGACTGCGCGTTGACGTCACGCGGTCGGCGTTGGTGACGTTCATCTTCAACTGCCCGGTTTCTCCCGTGCGTGATGACGTCACTTGCCGACGCGATGACGTAGATGGGGGGAGCGAGGCGGCGCGGCTGAAATTGGCGCGAAAATTAGACGTACGAAAAGAAAATGGCCGCTTATAGTTTTGTTATTTTTCTTTTTAAATTTCTTTATTTTAAAAGCTTAAAATTAATTAATTTCTTCGTTTCTTGGCAAATGTGGTCGCCTTTTTCCACCAGGTTTCTCCTCAGAATTGTGTTGCGACGCCCACCTGCCAACGACATTTAAGGTAAACATTATATTCGTAAGGGTTCATGGGCAATGTTATGGTGAGGTAAAACGTGTGTAACTATACGGAGCTTCTTTTAGAAGAGTAGGCCAAGTACCCCTTCCACCCCCTCTGCTATAGCTGCCTCTAGTTGTGGGCTCAGTGTTAATCACTGAGGCTCACAGAGCCAGACTAAGGCTCCCTCCCATAGGGTTCAGTGTTAATCACTGAGGCTCACTCCCCATAGGGTTCAGTGTTAATCACTGAGGTTCACAGAGCCAGACTGAGGCTCCCATAGGGTTCAGTGTTAATCACTGAGGCTCACAGAGCCAGACTAAGGCTCCCATAGGGTTCAGTGTTAATCACTGAGGCTCACAGAGCCAGACTAAGGCTCCCACAGGGTTCAGTGTTAAAATCACTGAGGCTCACAGAGCCAGACTAAGGCTCCCTCCCATAGGGTTCAGTGTTAATCACTGAGGCTCACAGAGCCAGACTAAGGCTCCCACAGGGTTCAGTGTTAATCACTGAGGCTCACAGAGCCAGACTAAGGCTCCCACAGGGTTCAGTGTTAAAATCACTGAGGCTCACAGAGCCAGACTAAGGCTCCCTCCCATAGGGTTCAGTGTTAATCACTGAGGCTCACAGAGCCAGACTAAGGCTCCCACAGGGTTCAGTGTTAATCAATGAGGCTCACAGAGCCAGACTAAGGCTCCCTCCCATAGGGTTCAGTGTTAATCACTGAGGCTCACAGAGCCAGACTGAGGCTCCCACAGGGTTCAGTGTTAAAATCACTGAGGCTCACAGAGCCAGACTAAGGCTCCCTCCCATAGGGTTCAGTGTTAATCACTGAGGCTCACAGAGCCAGACTGAGGCTCCCTCCCATAGGGTTCAGTGTTAATCACTGAGGCTCACAGAGCCAGACTAAGGCTCCCTCCCATAGGGTTCAGTGTTAATCACTGAGGCTCACAGAGCCAGACTGAGGCTCCCTCCCATAGGGTTCAGTGTTAATCACTGAGGCTCACAGAGCCAGACTGAGGCTCCCTCTCCCATAGGGTTCAGTGTTAATCACTGAGGCTCACAGAGCCAGACTAAGGCTCCCTCTCACATAGGGTTCAGTGTTAATCACTGAGGCTCACAGAGCCAGACTAAGGCTCCCTCTCACATATGGTTCAGTGTTAATCACTGAGGCTCACAGAGCCAGACTAAGGCTTCCTCTCACATAGGGTTCAGTGTTAGTCACTGAGGCTCACAGAGCCAGACTAAGGCTCCCATAGGGTTCAGTGTTAAAATCACTGAGGCTCACAGAGCCAGACTGAGGCTCCCTCCCATAGGGTTCAGTGTTAAAATCACTGAGGCTCACAGAGCCAGACTATGGCTCACATAGGGTTCAGTGTTAATCACTGAGGCTCACAGAGCCAGACTAAGGCTCCCTCTCCCATAGGGTTCAGTGTTAATCACTGAGGCTCACAGAGCCAGACTAAGGCTCCCTACCATAGGGTTCAGTGTTAATCACTGAGGCTCATAGAGCCAGACTGAGGCTTCACTCCCATAGGGTTTAGTGTTAATCTCTTGAGGCTCACAGGAGCCAGACCTAAGGCCTCCCTCCTCAAATAGGTGTCATGTTACTCAACTGAGGCTCAGATATGCCAAGGACGAAAGGCTCCTATCCAATAGGGTTCAGTGTTAATCACTGAGGCTCACAGAGCCAGACTGAGGCTCACTCCCATAGGGTTTAGTGTTAATCTCTGATGCTCACAGAGCCAACTAAGGCGCCCTCTCACATAGGGTTCAGTGTATCACTGAGGCTTCCAGAGCCATAACTGAGGCTACAACTCCCATAGGGTTTTATTGTTAATCTCTGAGGTTCACAGAGACAGACTACGGATCCCATAGGGTTCAGTGTTAAAATCACTGAGGCTCACAAGCCAGACTAAGGCTCATATAGGGTTTTTCTGGTGTTAATCACTGGGCTCACAGAGCCCGACTAAGGCTCCCATAGGGATCAGTGTTAAATCACTGAGGCTCACATAGCCAGACTAGGGCTCCCTCCCCCCTAGGGTTCTGTTTTTAATCAACTGAATGCTCACAGAGCCAGACTAAGCTCACAGAGCCAGACTAAG